TGGAAACAGATAATTCTGAACCGATAATGACAATTTGATACTATGTTCGAATTGAGTACCCCTGAACGAAGTTAAAGATCTAGCACTGTACTACTGTACGTGATAAGAGTCTTGTATTATAAAGAATATTTGTTATATTATTTAATGTTATTAATTGCACTTAAAAATATATTACTGTAATAACATTTATTTTAACACAATGATATCGATGATCTCTGTTAATATCTTAAAGAGCAATGGTATCGGATGCTTATCTCGATTATGTAAGGTTAGTACTATACTAATAATATTGCAGTAGTGGGGTTAACTCATATTTTGTTAAATCTCAATATTTTGATGTATACTTATTTGCATAATCGTATGCTTTATAGATATCAAAGAGTCATAATGTGACACAAGTGGCTTTTATAAAAAGATTATCACTGAAGGTGGAGCGAGCTAAACCTACAAAAGTATATCCTTATTGGAGGAAAGGATACACTGTACGCAGTTTGATATCTGACCCCTTGGTATACAAATATGATGAAAGTAGCAAATTGATAGTTGTAGATGGACTTCCAGCAATAGGAAAAACTAAATTCTGTGAAAAATTGGCAGAAGAATTTGGATTATTGTACATGCCACCTCCAACACACGATCAAATATATATAAATTGTTATGGATATGATTTTAGAGAGTTAGATTCAAAATTACCAAGTAATGCCCAGAGTTATGATTTAAAACGGTTCTTGAAAAATCCTAATCATCCACAAGTACCACAATTCCAACTATTCTACATGTTAATGAGGTTTGAACAATATATAAATGCAATAATTCATATACTTGCAACTGGACAGGGTGTGATACTCAATCGAAGTATCTACTCAGATGTTAGTTTTACCGATGCTATGTATAATGCTGGGTATCTGAATAAGGTAGTAATACAAAATTTTGAAATAATGAAGCAGCATTCACTTCATAATCTTTTAAGACCACATTTAGTTATATATTTTGATGCACTTCCAGATGCTGTTCAAGTAAGCTTTTATTTCTCACTTTCAAATGAGTTGCATTTATTGAAAGTAGTATTAACCTTCTTAATTAATGTATTACAGAAAAATATTAAAAAGAGAGGTAATATGGATGAAGTTAATTCAAAAGTCTTTACAACAAAATATTTATCAGATATGGACAAAGCATATAAAGAAAAATCCCTAACTTGGTTATCAAAACATACACACATACTGATGTATGATTGGTCGACAGAAGGAAATTATTTAGATGTATTTTCAGACATTGAAAACTTAGATTTACAAGAAGATCCAGAGAAGAATATGTTGAGTGATTGGATATTTGAAAATATAGATCATGTGCATTCATATATGCTTAAATATCAAAATAAGGTGAACATGTTGGCCCATATGATGCTGCCTAAACCTAAAATGGTATTTTGTGAGGAGCTTTGGATGAACGCATATGATAACGAAAAATACTCTGACTTACTTGATACAGTAAGTATACAACTTCTTGTGTTACTAAGTAAAGCTCAATTTTTAAGCTTTCAAATTGTTATGTAGATTAAAAAATGTAATATAATATTCCAGATAGAATGTGAAAAATACCTGCCTGAATATCACCCAGCTTATGGAGATAAGGTCCTGTTTAAGAGTATCAATTCGTTTAAATATTCTGCGTGTCGCCGCACACCTCGTGATCTTATAAATTATAGCGAAGCTAAATTACCACATTATTAAATATTGTAATACAATTTTAGTAGTCAAAATAAACCATTCTTATTATAAGAAGAATGTGGTAAATATTGTAGCATAACAAAATGTTATTGCGTTAGAATTGAAATTCTGACGGATGAAACATCTGAAGACTGCAATGCATACACTCATAAGAATCTGTGTACATATTTGATTGCTTTCACGCATTGAGCTGTAGAATGCCAGTTCGTTCGAATACGCAACCACTATAACAATAACCCTACGCGTTCATAAGCACTCCTATTACATTAAAAATGTTTTTCTCAACAAGTTGTTGAGAAGTATTAAACATTGTTTGTTCTAAAGCTAATGATTAACAAGATATAACAACGGCAGAGGATATGTAAGAACGAATTCGTAAAGCGTGTGCCACGCTTGCTTCGGGGACAATTTGCAACGATTTGCGAATCATATGGATCAAACTGTCGTTAATATCTCGTTAATTATTAGCTTTAGCACAAACAATGTTTAATACTTTTCCACTTGGAAATTAATAAGCTTTACAACTACAGTAGAAGTTCTATAAGAGTTCCAAAGTCGGGACCGCTGTGTAACAGCTACGAAAAAGGTGGTAGGTTTCTCAAACTCTTTGTATTTTACCGACACCGACGGACGCAGAAAGAGATAGCAGGCAAAGAAGAGAGAGGTATTGAAAGTCGAGCCAGTCCTAAAATATCAAACATCTACATATCGGTGAGACAACACTAATACAAAAGAAAAGAACTTTTTTGTTTTTTGTGTTTTGCTGATAAAAATTTTACTGACATTCCATTTTTGTTTTCTGATTAAAATGAGACCAAACACGGTATAATTCGGTTTATATTTAGTTACTTAATAAGAAATTCCACACATGCATATGTACATACACACATAATTACGCCCTCCCTATGAATAATTAATACATATTTACATACATCTACACTTTATTATGTCTTTACTATATCTATTAAATATAAGACACCTAAAAAACATTACATATAAGGATTTACAAAACATTATGGAAAATTCTAAGATGATACATAATTAAAAAATATAGGAGCAATTATAAGAAATTAAATAAATTACAGGATATTACAAAGTTATACAAAATTAAAAAATTACAAAAGGTCAAAAAATTCAAAAGAATTACTAAAATTAATGAAACTAACAAAAAATTACAAAACTACAACTTGCACCTATTTATAATTATACAGAATGTTAACGGATTTACTAGTCAGTATAGAATAAGATTTAAATTCTATTTAAAAAATTGAATGTCATCTTCATTTCCCAAAAAATAATACAAACACAAAAAGTTCACATACATTGTTATATTATTTGCAAAAAATAGTATCACTCTTTTCTCTTTAATTTTTGTCACATACTCATCAAAAACGCTGACTAGTAATTCCGTAAAATTTTTAACGTATTAGTAACTTATAATTGTTCGCAAACTGCTTGCGAACTGCTTGTGAAGAGTCCTGAGAAGTGTAAACGTTAGTATAACAACTCCTATGTGTATTCTTATGTGTCGTTTAAACTCGTCAAAGGTAAAAAATCCCAGTCCTAAAATATCAAACACCTGCATATCGGTGAGACAACACTAATGCAAAAGAAACACTTTTTTGTTTTTTGTATTTTGCTGATAAAAATTTCACTGACATATCCATTTTTTTTTTCTGATTAAAATGAGACCAAACACGGTATATTTCGGTGTATATTTAGTTACTTAATAAGAAATTCACAAAGGAAGATTCACAAACCCAATCGACACAACCAAGTTTTGTAACAATATCGTGTTTGGTATCATTTTAATCAGGAAAATCTCACCAATATTTTGATGAAATTTTTATTAACGAAAAATTGAAAATAATAAACTTTTGTAGTTTTGTTAGTATTGTCTCACGGACATGCCGACGCCGAATGCGATAAAGAGATGCCGCGGCCGTGTCACATTAGTCTAATCCGAAAGAACTCTTACAGAACTTTTACTGTACCGTAAAAGAAATAGGGCATTCCATTTAAAAAAAACGGTGACCTTGAAAATATTGAAAAAAATGGCATTAAAAAAAATAATATCATAATGGCGATGTGCATCCTTCGGAACCATTCTAATTCTGATGTACCCATATTTCATACCTTTAAATCCAACAAAGATATTCAGGTGTTCTGCTTCTCGTGACTCACCCTGTATACTACGAGGAGATTACTCGGTCGGACATTATTTTGGAAACATTGGAAAACTGCGACTTTATGTTCCGATAATGCCATAATAGTAGTAGCATCAGGGCCGGCGCAAGGCAGGTTCAGCGCGTTCGCCGGAACCCGGCCCCGCGTTTCGAGAGGCCCCGCGGTCTACGAAAATTACCCAATTAAATAACACCGATTTTCATTTACTTTTTACAGAATGATGATACCATTAACAGATGCAAGACATTTTTTTAGTAGCGATGATTCAGTTTAAAGGAGTGACAAAAATCATCAAAGTTCAGTGTAACTCCATAAAGTCCTCATATCCTGGAAACTACTTTACTATTATTATTATTACTGTACTTTTTAGAGAAATTAAACTACATCAATAGTTTTTTGCAAAAGTCATACATGATTACAGATTTTGTACTTTCATTGAATTTTTTGCCCCTTGAAAGCGAATTATGGATGCGAAAAAATATTACTTGGATTTGTTTAAAAAACTGCTTAAAAAAATAGAGATAAGACTCCCCAATTTTTGGAAGTCTGTCGACGAGTCGCAGCTCCTACGAACTTGCATAGGAACTGGGCATAGCAACGCCTGACATTTATTAGCGGTTGTGTGTCAGTTGCCGTCTTGCGGTTCATATGTTTTAAACAAAAACGCATCAGGCTATTGCATTGCTACGGTCTTCGATGCTGAGCGTTAGTCAATCTCTCGACGCGTGGCCAAGGACTGTGATCGTTAGGTTTCGGTAAATTTAAGACGACGAGTATTTTTCAAAGTTAGATTTTGGTATAAACCGTGACATATACATTTTCAAAACGTTTGATTTCTGGTAAGTATTTTTTTTCAATTATTTCCCCTCTTTTAAATTAAAATCAACCCTAACTAAAATCGCGTCGCAGAAAAAACGTATGGCAGTCATACAAATGAAATCCAATACATGTAACTAGTTGAGAATTTGAATTCGTTATTATTAAATTAATTTCGCCCCAAATGTTAAAATTTCGATAAAGTGAGCAAGAACAGAGAAATGTTTCAACTATATACAAACTAATGAAATATGTAGTTTATCCTATCTTGCAGTAAATGCTTTTTGGCACGCGATTTTATTCATTTTTGTAACAGACAAAATTTTATACACAGAAATATGTTTTTTTAAGAACCGCTATGGCTAGCAGGGATAGAGATCGTGGACGGAAATACTTAAGTGGGACTAAAAAACTGAAACGGAAGAAGCAGCGAGACGATTATATTAAACAGCAAACAAACAACATTTTGAAGTGTGTAATTGAAACTACTAGTCATTTCAGACAGCCAAACGAATGTGAAGAACATACGGCAATGAATCAGATCCCTTTGGAAGAGGAAAACCAAGAGCTGAATACACCTCTGAAGGAAAATGAAGAAGACACCAACGAAACTGAATTGGACGAAAATGGAAACAATAGAAAAACGAGCGATTGTGAAACTCATCAAGAAAAAGATATTGAAAATATGGAAATTGAAGCACAAAAAGAAGAAAACAGAAATTTCGACATTGAAGATCCTAGCACGTGGCCAATTGACAGAACACAACAAACAGTAAATTTAATAGTTCAGCATGGTCCTGTACAAGTTACTCAATTTAAGTTCCCTAAGAACGAAAATAACAGGAGTTTTTCTGCAACATATTTTACAAGAATACTGACGAATGGACAAAGGACAACACGAAGATGGCTAATTTATTCTAAATCTAAAGATAAGGTTTACTGTTTCGCTTGTAAATTATTTTCCACTACTGATATTTCATTGGGGGCAGACGGATTTTGCGATTGGTCTCATTTAACACAGCGAATCAAAATGCACGAACGATCTGCGGTACATTTACGAGCTATAAACAAGTGGCTTCAAACTGAACAAAATTTTCGCACTAGCAATCTACCTGATAAAGAGTGCGAAAAATTTTTAAGACTTGAAACGGCACGATACGAACAAGTTTTCCAAAGAACAACTGCTGTTATTTTATATTTGGCGCAACATAATTTAGCTTTCCGAGGAAGTTCCGACTTTGTACACACCGCACAATGGTAATTTTTTGGGTTTAATACAATTAATTGCAAAATTTGATTCCGTTCTAAATGATCATTTGAACAGAACAGCCATAAAAGGGCATCAATATTTATCGCATTCAATTCAAAACGAATTAATAAGTGATAAGTGAAGTAAGCAAATAAAGTACAAAATGTAATTATCGATGCAATAAGGAGAGCAAAATATTATTCCATTTTATTGGATTGTACACCAGATGTGAGCCATCAAGAGCAATTATCGGTTGTTCTTCGTTATGTCAACATAACAGACGAGGAGGTCGAAATCAAGGAACATTTTATCAAATTTGAAATAGTTCACGATACAACAGGAAAAGGACTATCTGAAACTATCATGCTCATTCTGGATCAGTTGGGAATAAAAATATCCGACTGTCGCGGACAAGGATATGATAACGGTGCCAATATGAGGGGAATATATCAAGGAGTACAAGCAAATATATTACGTGTAAATCCTAAAGCGTTTTACGTACCATGCGGTAGTCACAACTTGAATTTGTTATTGGGAGATATAGCAAAATCATCGACCCAAGTACTACGTTTTTTTGGTGTTTTACAAAAGATTTACACGATATTTGCAGCATCGACATCGCGTTGGGATGTTCTAAAAAAACACGTTGAAAAAATTACACCTAAACCATTATCAGAAACTCGGTGGGAATGCCGTTTTGATAGTGTAAAGGCTATTCGATTTCGAAACGCCTTGATCGAAATTGGCAAGAACGCATCTGACAATAAATTGAAAATTGAGATTTTGTCTATAGTGCGCAAGATAAATGAATTTGAATTTATTGCCAGTCTTATCATTTGGTACGAAATATTATCAAAAATTAACATCGTCAGCAAAGTATTGGAAAATCAAAAGATGCAAATCGATTTGGCCACGAAGCATCTGAAAGGTCTTAACGTATTCTTTGCGGAACACAGAAATGAAGTGTTCCGTCGCGCAGGTACGGAACGCATGGGGTCTTCGTTGACCGGGTTTATGGCACGCTCGCACGAGAAGGTTATTTTTGAGAACAAAGACGCTTCGTAGCTCCGCGAAAAAATAAGTAATTTCTTACAGAACAATGCCTTTAGAATTTCGACTTATCCGCGTCCTCAATAACCGAAGACGTGTCATAAACCAGGTACTCCTGAAGGGTCAATCCACACGTGCGTATAACGGCACTCTCGGCCGAGGGTTGACCTGGCGGGAATTTCCGACGCGTCACCGAAGGACAGCGAAGATTCCAGGCACCCGCAGGTAGGGCCCCACTCCTTCCAAGGAAAAGCGCGCTAAGGGCGCAATGGAAGGGCACGTTGATTGGTAATTTGTGCGTACGTGAAAAACCAATCAGCGTGCCTTCTTGTACTTGGCGGGGGAATCACGGCGGACTCCAGAAAAAATTCGGCAATCGAGAGACATTCGCAAGGAGTCTCTCGTGTGAACAACACACACACACAGTTTCCAACCGTACGAGGAGACACCAGAGTCTTCGAATCGCGAACGATCATTCGAGTCTAAAATAAAGTCGTCAATCACATCGTGACGCAGGTTTGCTAACGTTCGAGCAAAGTAAACCTTTGAACTAATTACCCAATATTAATTTGGCGAGTAATAAGTCGTGAGCGCGAACAGTTTTGAAACGATGAAACGCGAACGCGACGCGACATGAAGGATTTAGCAAAGCTATGATCGCAGCAAATGAAGTTGCAAAGGAAATGGACATAACACCAGATTTCAAATCATCATACAGGGGCAAAAAACGGAAATTATTCGATTATGAAGGACAGGATGAATCGTCGACGATCAACGGCAAAGAATACTTTCGTGTACATTACTTTTTAAAAATAATAGATACTGCGTTAGTATCCTTTAAAAGTAGATTCGAATTATATGCAAATCACCAAAATATTTTTGGTTTTCTATACATGAATGAGATTGGGAATTTAGATGATGAATATTTATTAAAGTGTTGTCAAGATCTTCACTTACATTTGGAAGGAGATTTCGACGGAACTGAAATGTTTGAAGAAATTAAGATGTTCCGGTCAATAACGCAAACCAATTAATCGACTTTAGATTCGATGAATTACATTGTAAAGAACAATCTCTTGGAAGCATATCCAAATTTATTAATCGCATTACAAATTATATTAACGACGCCAGTAACCGTGGAGTCAGCAGAACGTAGTTTCTCTCTTAGTTTCTTGAAACTAATAAAAAATTATCTGCGATCATCGATAAGCCAAGAGAGATTTTCATCTCTGGCTATTCTGTCAATAGAAAGGGAAGTAGCAAATTCAATCGATTTTGATGATGTTATCAAAGATTTGGCGTCGAAAAAAGCGAGAAAAATTATTTAATATTATTATTGGATTGTATTATTATTTAATATTCATCTTATAAAAAATATGTAATATGTAACAGCATTTGTAAATAAATGATTCCTCGTTGTAAAATTTAAGTGTAGGATTTAAATGTGTATTCAGGCCCCGCCAAATTTTTGAACCCGGCCCTGGGCATGGTCTCAGAATCTTTACTGCAAAAAAAAATTAATGGTCACGACTTCAGGGGGTGAATCTACACCCTTGGATCGGTGGACATTTGTAAAAAAAGTTCCGCAAAATTGTTTATAACATTGAAAATTAATGTTAAATTTTTTCTTTACATCAACGTATTCTGCTCGACGAGAAGAGAAAAAGTCTGAAAGGAGCCGTATGCCGCAAACAAATAGTTTCCGAGATAAATGTTGCTAAAGTTTGGCAAAGTTTTTAAATGAAACTATATATTTTCATTTGGGCAGGTTTGTAACCCACTCCAAGATGAAGTTATTGACCTATAATATGTTGGTTTTTGAGGGTCACTCAAAGTCATTTACGAGTATTTAAATTCGTTCGAGAAACGCTAAACATGTTTCCTGGCCGCTGGATAGAGAGAGGAAGTAGAATTCCCTTTCCATAAAAATCTCCAGATCTAACTCCTTTAGATATTTTCTTGTGGGATTTTATAAAGAAAAAAGTTTTTTGAGAAGAACCCATGACTCCTGGCAATATGAAGGCTTGCACATAACGGATACCAGCCAACAAATTAGTTGTGCAACTTTGAGAGGGTGGAACTGTCATTTAAGGATAGAATAAATCATTGCAGCGATGCACAAGACCGCCCTTTCGAATATAGGAGACAGGGAACAATTTCTGTACATTCAATGAAAGTAAGTTTTGAATGGCAATGAATGACCTTGAATGACCTTCAAAGACCAACATTTTTAGGTACATGAATTCGTCTCGGAGTGGGCTACAAACCTGCCCAAATGAAAACATAATTCTATTTAACCCTTTGAGTGCTATGGATGCATATATGCGTCCAGCGAAAGCTATCTCTGTGGACTAAGGATGCATATATGCGTTCAGCGAAAACTATTTGTGTGGACTAAGGACGCATATATACGTTTATCAATTTTTTCGACCTCCCTCGCGCTTGAGATACTTTTATCAGTGTATGAGATGATATATGTGCATTCCTTAGCAACAACAATAAGTTCAAATATTTAGATTCATTAATATAATTTCAAGTTAAGATATGTTTTACATTTTAATGTATTTAATAAAATAATTAATGTTCGAAAATAACTTTCTTATATTATTTAATTTGGCGTACAGAAATTACAATTGTAACTTAGTTGCGCCTTGCGTATTCAATCAACATAGTTCACATTAGCAAAAAAAGTATTCCGTCACCAACGATCGCAACCGCTAGGCGCGTGCCGTCCGCGCGGATTGCTTCCGCTGGAAGTATTCAGCACTCAAAAAGTTAAAAAAACAAAGGTCACTTTGAGATCTCGGAAACGCGTCCACATAAACGATGTCCCCTTAAAACAAAACAAGTTTTATTTGAAACATTTTTTCGAATAATGAGTAGTTTAGGAGATAATTGGGTGAACAGATTAAAATGAGACACCCTGTATATATATATTTTTCTTTTATATATGAACATTACAAGTAATTTTAAATACATTTTACTAACTCGGTATTAGTTTTTTAAATATATGTTCAATTGTGGAAAAACAAATTGAAAATATTGCCTATATGCTTTTAGTTATTTGT